CATAAAACGATTGCTCCTTAATTGCTTCATATTTAAAATCGTCTTAAATGTGGTCTTGGGTCGTCGTTACGCATTGTTCGTTGCCGTCCTTAAGTCCGTATCAGACTACGCATTGAAAATTGAAGATTGAAATTTAAAGATTGGAATTTGACTAATCAGAACAAAAGGGACTAAAATTTCTTTATTCTGATTGGTCAAATTTCAATCTTGAATCTTGAATCTCAATCTTCAATGCGTAGTCTGATACGAGCTTAAGCCTTGTGTCCACGATGCTAAAACTCGGACCGAGAAATGTGTAGCCAATCAATTTGCAGCTTTTAGGAAAAAGCGACAATTTTATTGGCTACACGTTTTTTCTTGGACCGAATTCTAGCATTGACCTAATTTACACCGATATATTTTAATACGTATTAAGTACTACACTGGCCAATCATAGCCATTCCATTCTTTAGAGGAAAGGCTATGATTGGCCAGTGTAGTACTTAGTACGATAAAGGGTGCGATCGGGGATACGCTATTAGCGCTAACAGCGTCGTTCTATCTTTGTTACTTATTGAAAGTTGAACAAGGACAGAACACGCTCATAGCGCTAAAAATATGCTCCCCGAACGCAGTCAAAGTATATCGGTGTAAATTAGGCCATTGTGAACACAAAACTTTACGTCTGTTGTATAATAGCGTTTTCGAATGAAGCAGGTTTAATCGCTCTGAAAGCGATTAATGACGTCATTGTATCATCTCTGCCAATAAAAGACTTGAATTCATAGTAAAATATAGTGATTAATTGATCGGGTTTGGATTAACCCGTTCATTCGAAAACGCTATCAATCTGTCGAACATACTGATTCGTTGTCGGATAGAGAATTCCTAGAGTTTCGAAAGTTACTTGCGATCGGCCAATCAATACGTCCGTTATGGCGCGGCCCTGTCTCTCTGCTATTATTCTTTACATATAACATACCATCCTGTAGGATGAAATTTCCTTAATGACTGACCAATAAAATCATTCACATATTAGTAATATTTTAATTCGCGTACTTCAGCATTGTGCGGATAAATATCGTAAAAGTTCTGTATACACGGTACTTTTTGGTCTTTTATCGTCTCTCCTTTATCGTGTCATGTCATAGGAACTATAAGCTGCTGTTGAACCTAGATATATCAATTATTTTCTGTTGACTTTGTACCAACTCCATTAAAGTGCGGGCTTTTAGATACTTGTTTCAACTTTCATCCATATTTTTTAAGTGTGAATCCATCTATAAATACTACATAATTGTAAGTAAGGCAAAATTTGCTATCTCTATTTCCCGGAAATTCAGCGCTTAAGCTTCTCCTAAAGTTACTGTTTCCAAGAAACTCGAGATGTAAGATTTGCTTTATTTTCGAGATCATGAATTTTTCGTGAATTTATGCCGCGAGATCGTTATGAAGACGATCCCGAATATATCTTTTCGGTAATGAAAACATCGCGAAACGTTAACTACATCATTGCATAAACTGCGAATGGATACTCGATGAAGTCGTGCTGCTGTCCGCGTCAGAAATGTTATTTGTGATAAAAATTGTATGTTACTATCTGAATATGTTATTGTTCGACAGGAGGTGGTTCAAGACAGTTTGGGAGGCATTAGGTTATATGCACGGTTGGCGGTAACGTCTGAATTCACAGTCCACTTCTGAAGGAAATCATGGATATGGAGATTATCTGTATCTCTTCCGACGATGAAACGGATTCGCAAAAGGTTTAGTAGAACTCTAATAAAATTTCTCTATCTATTTTGTATACTTTTAAAACAAACTGTATAAGAATAACACTTTGTTTAGTCGAAAAAAAAGAAAACATGATACTGAAAATACGACTTTAGAATTTATATATTATTTGATTCAAAATTTGTTGGGGTGTAGGAAAATAGGAAGGCCAAATTAGATACTACTTCCCTTATTTGTGGGAAGACAGACAATTTATCTAACGATGATGATAAAGTAGAAGGAAATAGTTTGAAACGAAAAATGTTGAAAATAGATACAGAAGAGAAAACTCAAAATAACATGGAGAAGAAGAAAAAATTGAATACAGATGGAGATATACCTATAGAAATAGTTAAAGTTAAATTTCAGCCTGATTTAAATCATATATCTCACAAGTCTGGTACTGATAATTCTGATAAGTCTGGTACTATGCAACCAAACAAGGACCAAGAAATAATAATTGAAAAGCCAAAATTGATTGTGAAAGAGAAAAAAAAGATATCGTATGTTGCACACGATGTCTTTCCACTATTTATAAGTTTATGCCTTCAAAGAAGTAAAGATAAGGATAGGAAAGATATGGAAAAAATTGTAAATAAATTAAAAAGGCGTTATGAAGAGCTAGATCCGGAATACACTAGCTCGAAATATTTTGTCTCATTTTTAAACGAAAAGCGTGCTGCTATTATGTACAATGATAAAAAAATATATGTGTATATAGAAGAAGTAATGAATGAGATGAAAAAAAGGTTCAAAAAGAAGTCCCATCTATTGTCATCTAATGAAACTTATGATGCAGTTCCCTCTACTTCATATGCTGCAAATAATTTATCAATTAATAATGCAGCAAAATCAGACTATGACAATGATAATGAGGAGAATGCAAATCCTCGGACAAAAAATAAAATTAAGATGATATTACAAGCCATGGCAAAATGTGAGGGAGTAATTAAAATATTGGAAGAAGCAGAAGTTGATTTCGATAAAGAAGATAATAGTACTTATATAAAAGTTGAACGA